ATGTGAGTGAAGACAAAATATGTTTAAAAGATCCGTGTTGATTAGATTTCGTTGGCTCAAGACAAGTAAGTACATAGTCATGCCCTAGGAATGCGAAGAAATAACGAGATCATTCGTTGTCGAATTCATATTCTAAATTGTGATCAAAATTCTGGACGTGAGACGTTATAAGTGATAAAGAGTTAAACCTCTCCAATTGAATGTGGTTCGAGATCAAACTAAGATAGAGAGTAGTGGGCATGAGAAACCCGAATAAATAAGGAGTATATAAATGAATTCATTTGAATATATTATTATCAAATAAATTACGTAATGTTAATTAACAATAATTATAAAATATGTATAATAAATTAATTTCTAAAAATTAAAACTCTATTACTTACAAACATATTACCAAATATATTATAAACAACCTTCTAAATTAGCATCCAATTTTTAAATTAATTAAGAAACGTATATTCACAACTATTATGCCTACTTTTATTAACATCATTTGTATTCAAATAAATAAATTAAAAATTAAAAATATGATAATTAAATAGACACAACCTACAAACCTTTTAAATTTGTCGGGACGAAAAACGCAATTATAAATTTATTCTTTGGAATATATATATATATATATTATATTATATTTTAAAAATGGAATTTTGACTTGACTATTGACTTTTGGACTTAGTTTTGTTATTTTCTGCACTTCGGACGCATCCTCCCTTTATATATATATTTATATTATTTTAATTTTATTAATTAACTAAAAGAAAATTAAACTTTTTTTTTAAAGAAAAACCGAAAGGCATGAAAATTCGTTGAAAAAGTTAGAAATTTTATTAATAAAATAATTATGTAAAAGAAAAGAAAAGAAAAGAAAAGAAACTATTCTAACTTCCAACGGTCGGATAAATTGGCAAATAAATTTAAAGTTTATTTGAAAAAGGAAAATCGGCGATCATTTCGATTATAAATTTGTCCTAACCCACAACGAATGTAAAGTACATTTATATTTCAAATTTAGAAAGATATTATGAATCTTATTTATTAAAAAATAAAAAAGTTTCATTTAATAATTATTTTAAAAATAAATACTCGAACTTACTAACATTACATTTTAATATACATTTATTTTCCTAATTGTTTTCTTTTCATATTTAAATTAACTTTATACTTTTAATAAGTATGTTAAAAAAAATAAGTATAAAGATGATCCAACCTTCTTACCCATTCTTACCCATTCTAAAGTAACGATAGTTTAAATATAAACATTCCAAAGGTTAGATGAACACCAACTCTCCATAATAATATGATATTGTTTTCATCATTCACACTTCTTCTTAATCGAGACCGACTCTTTTTCTTTTGGAGTCCTTTGTTCGATATTTGAGAATTTACCAATCTATTGGTAAGACTAAGTTTAGGGTATGACTATGCTACTATGTTAAATAAGATATTGTCCACTTATCTTATCCACTCTGAGTATAAAACTCTTATGACATTACTTTGGACATCTCGGAGCCTCGTGCCAATGAAGATGGTTACTGGTTACAAACCCAGGATCTCCCTAGGCTAAATTAGCTGGGTTAGGTTTGATTTAAGAGTAAAAATTAATATTGTTGTAAATAAAAAATTAAAAAAAAGAATCATCTCAAGTATTTTAGGATTGGATATATATAATATATCTATATAAAACTGGACACAAACTGCTTGGAGAATATAGATATGGTAGGGAGATGATGTTGCTCTTGCTAACAAGAAACCTTATTATCCATCACGTAAGCGTGATTTGGAACTTTTTAACATTTGATTAAACATAAATTAAACGAAGAAAGAAAGAAAGAAATATAGCTATTTGAACATGTCAGAGAAGGTAGGGAGCTTGATCTCGCCTTTTGTAGACAGAGGAATGGTGAAGTCTCCAATGACCGGAAGGTCAATGGTGAGTCTGATCAGCAACTCGTAATCAATGTCCCAATCTCGCCCGATGTCCTTCGCTAAGCTTATCATTACCGAGTGCGGCACCTTCACCCCCACTTCCACCATCGTCGAACCGCTCGCTTTCAGAGATCCTGGATCTGGCACCGTCCCTGTCACAACCGTTCTGCACATTCGATCGATCCATCAATCACAAGATCTCAACAACAGGCACCGTCCCTGTCACAACCGTTCTGCACATTCGATCGATCCATCAATCACAAGATCTCAACAACAACAACAACATCAACATCAACAACATCAACAACATTTCATTCCTTCTTTCCTATTGAACGAATCGAGATCGTCTAATCGATCGATTCAATATATACATACTAATCGATCGAGACCTAATTTACGAAATCAAAAACAGAGGAAATCGATCGATTCAATATATACATACTAATCGATCGAGACCTAATTTACGAAATCAAAAACAGAGGAAATTTGAAAATGCGAGTAAACGAGCGAACGAACGAACGAACCTGCCGTCGCTTTTGAGATTGTAAGAAATCTCACAGATAGGAATGGCGTGGCTGTAAGGATTGGAGACGGAAACATAGGCCAAATACTCGACGGAATCGCGGCTCAAACGCTTGAAATCGACGTCGGTGACGGAGGCCTCTGGCTTCGGCATGTTAGCGACCTTCGTGGAGACATAGTTCTTCGCTCTGTCGATCAAACCTGCCATTTTCGCAAGGAGATTGAAGAGAAGTGCAAGAAGATGAAGAAATACAAAGCAAAGACGGAGAAATGGATATGCAGAAGAAGACGGGAGAGACGGATCCTTATAAGAGCGACCAGACTCGAGAGAAGTACGTAAGCGTGTAATTGTTTGAACCGACAACGAGTCACACGTGTTTCTTTGCACGTGTAATTAAATGTAGTTATGTAGTACACGTGGAAAATAAATGAAAATAGAAAAATGGTTAAGAAATGAATAATAATAACAATAATTATCTTAATCCATCATTTTTTATGAAAATAGAAAAATGGTTAAGAAATGAATAATAATAACAATAATTATCTTAATCCATCATTTTTTAAAAAATTTATTACTATTATTATTATTATTTAAATTTAGAGTTTATTAGTTAGTGGTTATAAATAATACATACAAACCCATCGAATAATTATATCTTATAATTAATTATTTAAATGAAAATTTTACTATTTAATTTAAAAATAAAAAGAATATTTACAACTAGAAAATAAATAATTGTATTTATTTTAAATTTACTTTTAAATAATTATCTTTATTTTAAATTTGGCTAGAAAATAAATAATTGTATTTATTTTAAATTTACTTTTAAATAATTATCTTTATTTTAAATTTGGTATATTAAAAATGAATGGGGAAAAATTATAGTAAGATTACAAAGGGATTTAAAAAAATAATATATAAAAATTAAAAAACCACAGGCACATAGAACACAATTTTAAAAAATAAAATTAATAAGAATATTATATAAAAATTAAAAAACCACAGGCACATAGAACACAATTTTAAAAAATAAAATTAATAAGAATATTTTGAAAATATAGAAATTAAAAAAATTATATAATGACAAAGACCGAGATAGATTTTAAATAAATTTGTAATATAATTGGAATATTCACAATAAAGGAGAAAAATTGATTTTTATCTCTTTATTTGTTAAAATAATTTTATTTTATCTGTATTCACAATAAAGGAGAAAAATTGATTTTTATCTCTTTATTTGTTAAAATAATTTTATTTTATCTGGCCGTAAATCTTGATTTAGTAAAACTTAAAACAAATTTAATATAATGAACACTGCAAAACTATATAAGAAATGAACAAATAGATGCAAAATGTTTGGAAAAAAAAATAAAAAAAAATAGAAAGCATGTATACAAACGTCTTATATTTCATTCTATATTTTTACAAAAAAAAAAATCATCTATTTTTTAGATCATCGCAAATTCCTAACATAAATTTTTCAATATTTTCTTGAAATATTTATTTTAATTGACAATTTTTATTTTATAATAATCGTCTATTAAAAAATGTAAAATAAGTTTAAAAAATTCATATGAAAAATATAATATAACTCCATTTCTAAAATTTTAAATTTAAATGGTATAATGTAGCTGCAACATTTTAAAAAAATAACTTTCTTTATTTATTTTAAATAAATAATACAAGTATAACACAAAACTAACTTATTATATACATAAAAGTGAAGCGGGACAGAATCGAGGTTGGAGTTGGGAAATGTAATTCCATCACAATCTCCATTTAACTAACATGGAAAACTCATTCGGGTAGGTCTCATACCCCATTTAAATTGAATTCCCAACTCGGAATCCAACTCATTCGGGTAGGTCCCGTACAAGGCCTCGATCTTACAGAGTTATAAGGGGTTTGAATATACTTCTCTTCCTTTTCTATTATGTTTTTAAAAAAATTAAATTAATTTCCATATAATTTTAAATTTTTTTATTTAATTAGTTATTATTTAAGCTTTGATTTCTATGATTTACCATAAATCGTCTCAATGTTTAAATAATAAATAAATAAATAATAAAAATAAATTCCTTTTATCTAAATATTATAGTTTTAAAATTAATTTTAATATCATTATCTAAATATCATTCCCTAAACAATTCTTTTATCTAAATATTATAGTTTTAAAAATAATTTTAATATCATTATAAGTTTCAAATCTTCATACACCACACACACACACACATATACATACACACATATACATACACACACACACACACACACACACACACACACACACACACACACACACACACACACATATACACACACACACACACACACACACACACACACACACACACACACACACACACACACATATACATACACACACACACACACACACACACACACACACACACACATATACATACACACACACACACACATATACATACACACACACACACACACACACACACACATATACATACACACACACACACACACACACACATATATATATATACATACATACACATTATTGAGGAGGAAATGAAAAGGTCATGGCAAAGACTGCATCCAATAATTATGAGGAAAAGCAACAAAGTTTAGAGAAAAAACATCAGAATAAAGGCTTCTTTCCATTTAAGAATCCCATCAAGTGATCCAGAACTTGAGGCCCTCCATCACGCAGACCAGAACTTCTTTCCATTTAAGAATCCCATCAAGTGATCCAGAACTTGAGGCCCTCCATCACGCAGACCAGAATGCATAAATTCATTAGTAACCCACAGCCTGATTCCTGCTATTTGGGAAGCTGTCTCCATGGCCAGCTTGAAGTTTACGTACATATCTTCATAGTAAACTGCTGCTGCGACCGGGACCTGTGATTGGGATTCCGAAAAGATGTTTAACTTTTTGCAACAAAAACCTCCCAACCTAATCCTAATGCTTGTCATGACAAGTTGTTATGGTAAAATTGACATCGGTGAAGACGGTGATGGTGGAGACAGAGACTATGAAGGGAGAGGATCGTTCATGCTTAAAACCGAGTGGCTAAACTAACAATGTAGTAACTATGAGCACGGTGCAGGAGATGAACCTATGGCAGACTCGCTCAGGCAAGTTAGGATGTTTTGCAGTAAAGTACCCAAAGACGAGATTTTCGGGATAGAAACATTATAAAAAACACTACTTGGAAATGTGCAGTAAAGTACCCAAAGACGAGATTTTCGGGATAGAAACATTATAAAAAACACTACTTGGAAATGTGGAAGCAGTTGGAGAGAATACCTTGTTATTTTTAAGAGCAGCAATGTCATATAGGGGAGGCCAATCCTCCTTCTCGGCCAATATATTAGCGGCGTCTTTGAACGGTTTCAAGGCATGAATCTCGTCAAACATCCACGGGAAGATCATCTGCAGAAGCATTACAATTGGAGCATAAATCTTGAATAATCTCGTCAAACATCCACGGGAAGATCATCTGCAGAAGCATTACAATTGGAGCATAAATCTTGAATAGATATGAATGAGTAGAACTTCCAAAGATGTTTTTATTCTGGATTTATCCAAAGTCAAGCAAGATCTCATAAACTCAGATGGCTATTTACTCGATCACCATGATGACATTTTATGAGTATAATGCACCTACCTCTCCAGTGAAATACACAGGACATCCTTCTTTTACAGCCTTAGTTTTATGAGTATAATGCACCTACCTCTCCAGTGAAATACACAGGACATCCTTCTTTTACAGCCTTAGTTGCATCGAATTTGTTCTCCAGTTCATTCCTTATTCTTTGAGCAGACCAGCGAGACGAGGCGCCCTTTGGGGAACAGGAACACGAAGTGGCAAAAAGTTCACTCTATAGAGAGTTCAAACGACCAATATGCCTTTGGGGAACAGGAACACGAAGTGGCAAAAAGTTCACTCTATAGAGAGTTCAAACGACCAATATGTAATTCTAAAAGGTAAAAAAGGAGGTTACCTGGCAATATATTGACTCGTGCATGAGACCATAAAGAGGATTTGAATCAAGTGAGAGCCAGCCACTGATCTGCAAATATGTCTAGTTGTTAGAATCATTCAAGAATGAAGTTTTAGTGATAATCACAACCAATGGAAATTGTAGAATACTAACAGCATTGAGGAAGAAATAACTGATTCGTTTTGGTGCTCCAGGAACTATTATAGGATCCCATACTCTCTCAAACCTGACATGATTAACTGATTCGTTTTGGTGCTCCAGGAACTATTATAGGATCCCATACTCTCTCAAACCTGACATGATTGAGGGGGAAAAAGAGAGAGTAATTAGATTACTACACACATTTCTTGAGTTGACTATTCACTTATCCAAAAGAATGAAACCAGAAAGACGAAAATTAAGACGCCTTACAAATAGTGCATGCGTTCGAAACCTGTACTAGATCCTAAAGCAGAAAGCCCAAGAGTTTGCAGCCCTTTAGGAGTCAGGATACCACCACAGGGAAGAGGAACCTATACAAAAACAAAAAAGAGTTTGCAGCCCTTTAGGAGTCAGGATACCACCACAGGGAAGAGGAACCTATACAAAAACAAAAAAGAATTAAGTGTTTCTTTCAGAGAGTTGTAAAGGGATTTGAGAGACATTTGAGCATTTCGTTCGGGTTTTTTATAGCATTATGATGACATAATTCACAAGGGATTTGAGAGACATTTGAGCATTTCGTTCGGGTTTTTTATAGCATTATGATGACATAATTCACAATTGTACTCACCCCGCCTCCATTCTCCTCCAAGTATTTCACAACTTCATGGACGATTTTGACATCCTGAGGATACCTCTTGTAGTATTTTTCATTTTGAATAATAATCTTTTCAAAGCATGCTCTATACATCCTGAGGATACCTCTTGTAGTATTTTTCATTTTGAATAATAATCTTTTCAAAGCATGCTCTATATACAGAATCTGCCGTGCATCCATTCCCTATTGGAGGGATTCCTCCAGTTATGAGGACTTGTTTCAATCCTTTTGGTGCAAAACTCAAATACGTAATTGCACAAAACCCACCATAGCTCTGTACAGGGAAAAAGAGATTTTGGTGCAAAACTCAAATACGTAATTGCACAAAACCCACCATAGCTCTGTACAGGGAAAAAGAGATTATCTTTGTATTTGCAGTGATTTAAATTACCACACAACAGAAGGCAATAACTTATATAAAGCAAAGCCCCATTTAGAATCCCAAAGCTAACAAGTCTGCTAATTGCTTTATGTAAGTTCAACATGTTGCAAAGCCCCATTTAGAATCCCAAAGCTAACAAGTCTGCTAATTGCTTTATGTAAGTTCAACATGTTGAGCGAAGAGTACTAAACTCAATGTGTTGCTTGCAAAGACTAGAAGTCATCTAATAAAGTAAGGACGAGTAAAAGAGTACTAAACTCAATGTGTTGCTTGCAAAGACTAGAAGTCATCTAATAAAGTAAGGACGAGTAAGGAGCGCTATGCTAAACATGTTGATTGCAAAATTTGAAACTAAAAAAGAAACACTAAATTGCATACCTGACCCAAAATGGTCCAAGGTGCAGCATCAGGAACAAGACGAGTCCTAATGAATTCAGCATCATTCACTATGTTATCAGCTCGAAAATGTTTCAAGTAGTTGGCCAAGTCCTCAGCACTTTGGAATTGCGACATGGACGATGGAGACAAAGGAGTCGATAATCCTGTTCCCCGCTGCAGTGATATACATATGTAAGTGGAATAAAAGATCATGACAACAGTTGTTTATATTTCAAATGCTGTTGCTCAAAGGTTGTCGACAAAAGCCATGCCTGGTCCATCAATATAACACGAAATTCTTCACATGCTTTTTGTATCCATCCACTTGCTTCAGTAGGTCGCGGACACTCAAATCCAGGTCCACCTTGTAAGTATACAAGGTATGGCATTGGTTGCTCTTCTTTCCCCACTGCAATGCAGAATCTGTATTTGTTAAGGGTCGCAATTACTAAAATCATAATTGATTTAACAAAACATAAATGCCCAAAAACAAAAACAACCCAGGTACATATAGGAACTGACAAAATAATTCTTTCGAGAAAGGGATGGATTGCAAATCAAGTAATCATCACCAAATAGCTTTCAGTATTTGAAGGATTTGGTTATAATATCATTCAATATTTAAGAAGTCCCTGAATCAGTAGCTTCAGCAACACTCAACTTCTAGAAGATGCAAGAAAACTATTTGTATTCTGACTGAGATGTTCAGAAAATTTTTTAGAACCCATATTGCATTCTGCAACAATTTTAATCACAAGTAAAAATTTAGTCCATATGATTTGGAGGAAGATCGCTAGATTTTCGTCCTTAGAGTTAGCTAAAACCTCATAAATATTCCCTATGGTTTGATAAAACACACATAAATAGTCCCGGTGGTAAGGATCATTAATGAATGTTTTATCAAACCATAGAGATGATTTCTAACATTTAAACCATAAAGATTAAATTCTAAATTTCTCAAAATTTTAATTAGAAAATAAAAAAAAGATAAGATTTGAAAATTTTGCTCATTTACCAAATACCATAAGCATAACCCCATTAAGAAACCCTATAACATTTTTATGATAGTGTTCTTTTCCTTGCTTTATCTTGGTAAGAACTAAATTCTCTTCTTCTTCTCTTACAGTTTTTCTCAGACCAATTGGAGAATGTTAATGTAAGTCCAATGGTTTGAGGCTTTCTTTCTCCTTTTTTTTTTAATACATTACATAGATCAATGAACTTATTTCTTGAAAAAGAATGCAACTCTCCACGAGGAGTGTCCTTCATAGAGTGACACAACTTGTTTTCCAGCTTCATAAGTTTTTTATACAAGTATGAAAGAAATAGAACCGTTGAAATTGATAGACATGACGAATAAAATTACTTAACGAATAATATCCTATTAATGTGTTAGATTCCTACATTAGAAGGAGCCTTTTACAATAAGAATTTAACATGAGAGACAAACCTTTTTATTCTTTATACAAGAAGCAACTACCTTATTTGTGATGTTTTACATGGATAAGAAGAAATTAGAAGGAAGCCGCCACAAGCCTTGCACTAAGATAGAAATTGCAGAAGTACTTCATGGATATCACTGTTTTACCCTAATTCTAATTAACAACAATGACACCATAACTCCACAAAATCAATAAATGAACAGAAAAAATATATATATGCAAGTGGTCGAGAACAGTCGCCACTGGATTACTATATTCAAAATTTTCAACAAATCGAAAGTAAATTTAAAGTGAAATTAGGATTTGATTTACCTGAAACAACTTCCCGCGCATAAACGGAGATCTTGGGAGAAGAGTGATCTAGAGAGTAATTGAGAGGCACAGAGAAGTAATGGTCTCGGAGCCGGAGCTCCGGCACGGAGTACCACGTGCCAGCTGAGTGCTCCGGCGGAGATGCTTCATTAGAAGGAATGGTGCCGGCCATGACTGCCAATGAACGAACGGAGCTCCGGCAATGGACGGCGGAAAGAAGTCTTGTGAGTGGAATTAATGAACGGGCGGGGGAGGAGGGGAAAGAGTGAAAGAGGAGTGCCTTCATCAAAAATGGCGGAATAGCTTAACTATGGTAGGGGGCGAATTGTGGGAATTTTTTTTTTTTTAATAAATACCATTTTAACCCCTTCTATATTGGTGGTGATTATTTGTACGGCAACAGAAATAGTATTTCAAATGTAGATTGGGTAATTTCATTCATAATTAATTTTTTTTTAAAATTGTTTCTGTCACACATCATATCAAATTAAAAAACAGATCCACCTTATCTTTTTTTCTTGAATTCAAACAAACAATAATATTAAAATTATAATAAACATTCAAATATATTAAATATTTTAACTTGTGGGACCCACACGGTGTTCAATGGTATGATATTGTTCACTCTAAACATGAGCTTTCGTGGCTGTGCTTTAGGCTTTCCCAAAAAATCTAAAACCAATGGAGACAGTATGCTCTCATGGCTTAGCCCAAAACGCCTAAAACCAAAAGAGAGAGTATTATTTGATTATAAACTCATGATAATTCTCTAGATTATTAGCATGCTCTCATGGCTTTGCGACCTTAAACCAATCGAGATAATATTCTTTGATTATAAACTCATGATCATTGTCTAGATTATTAGCATGCTCTTATGGTTTTGCTTTCTGCTTTCCCAAAAGACTTCAAACCAATGGAGATAATATTATTTGATTATAAACCCATGATCATTTCCTAAATTAGCGGATGTGAAACTTTCAATTATCCAACCCACTGAACGCGTCAAAAAGTTACCAAAGATTTTTCAGGTTAATTAAACAAAGTTAGGAATGAAGATTACATATTTCACCCCACTTTATTGATATATATAATATGTTAAAAATTATGTTAGCAATATTGAAAATTGAAATTTTAGAAATTATGTTATAAGATTAGAAGAAAAAACTTGTAGCATAAAACCTAATTCTTATAAATTTTCAAAAAGTTATTGTAAAAATAAATAAATTTTTTTTTGTGAGAATGAAAATGAAATAGTAGATGAGGAGGAAGACAAGAATCTTTAGTAGATATGAGGATTAAGAAATGGGAGGGTAAATTAGTAAATGGAATAATTAGCGAACAATTCACAGTGTAAATGGTATAATGCATGGAAATGAGCTTTTAAAGTTTACTATAGTTTTTGAAACACACAAACAAAACCCAAAACACCACTTTTATCTTACATTTTTATAGAAACAAAACAAAATTCTTAAAACACTACTAAGACGAACGTCCAAACATGAAAAGATTTACACGTAAAAACAGGAAAAATACACACAGGATTATTAATTCATCACGCTTTTAAAAACATCCCAAAAATTTCTTCGGGATGGTTCCGGTTGCTCGGAATTTGGCAGCCGTCTCCTCCGCCTTTAGCAGCTCCTCCGACCGTTGCGCTTCCACCATTGCCTTCTTTTCTTCTGCTTCTTTGTGAATGATGGCTACTTTGTTTTTCATTTTTTCTCCATATTCAGCCTTTTTCTTCTCCAATTGTTCCTGTTTTCTCAACCTTGTTATACAACAATTCCACACTTTCTCCTTGTCCACTTTTCTTTCTCAAATCAAATCCAGAAAATTTAGCTACCATTTATACTCTAATGGTATGAATCATATTTTAAGAAAATAATTGAGATATTTTAAGAATAAAGGTACCTATTTTAAGAAAAGATCCAGATATTTTAAGAAAAATATTAAGAGATCTTAGGAATAGATAAATACCCTCCACCCAAAGATCAAGATATTTTAGGGATAGATTCTATTGTAAATACTCTCCACCCTATCTAGGTTTTCATCCAAGAGAAATACAAAGTATAGAGTGCAATAATTTTTTTTATAGTGTTCTAATCTCTTTTCGATTAGTGTTAATAAAGAGTGCAGAGTGTTCTCCACAAAGAGATGTGTTCATCATCCCTCACCTCGTAAGTAAAATGTCCAATTGAAAATTATTGTTAAACCCGAGAATGGGAACAGGGATTAATAGTTACCTCAATTTTTTTCAACTTTGCTTCAAGGTTGGCTTTTTTGCTGTTCTCCCATGCAGAAACAGCAGAGAGCTTCTTCTGGGCCCTATTAAATTGTCAGACAAATATTTCAGTTCGTAAGTTCTTATCATGACATGAATACTGATGTGATACAGCAAAAAGTTGAATTTTAAGTTTGGAAATTAGAGGAATGAATGTTGGGAATCAGAATCCAGCTCGCTCCCCTGTATCTAATAAGTAAATAGGACGAGTTCAATCAAAGCCTTACTTGTTCTCAGCCTTTGATTTTTCACTATCTTCCCAGGCCTTAATGAAGGAAAACCTTTTCTCCTTTTCAACCTCCGCAAGAGCGATATCTAAGACAATTGAGGATCAGGTCAGTTTGTGAACGATCAAATTGTTACCACAGCAAAGATAACATTCTTCAGGACAATCTTGTGTTTTCCGCACAAAGATCTTAAAATATTTTATAATTGTAAAACTAGAAGACTTAGATGGGATAAGATGCGTGCTATACGCTCACCCCTGTCAATTGATCCACCGGAGGCTTTCTTTGGTACAGAATCTTCTTTGGTTTCTGCCAAGATCCAACAGTAAAGCAATTATAAAAGCACCCAAAGATAGAGGTTTCAGGCTAATTAATGCAATAAACCAAGGTAACTGTATAATACAGTACAAAGCCATTAAACTAGAAGGAAAATCAAACAAGCTATAATACAAGATGGAAACAAAAGTTATCAAGGTGGGACAAAAGCAATGCTATATTAACTTTAGCAAGAAATTTGGATGAAAATAAATTGAAGTATACGCAGTATAAAGCAAACTGAGTGATGATTTTCAAATCACAGCCAAGATTCTAACTCTATCCATGGTGAGAGTTAGACCGATTGCCTGAACCCTGTCACCCCATCAATAGTTACCAAGGAAAGTAAACAGATGGCAAGTTAAAACCATAAGGTAGTATGTCGTTAAGATGCAACTTAAACAACTTTAATTTAAATTCTTGGCCAATTTTATCGGGTAAGAAGAATCAAATGACAGAAAGGACACGGAGATCATTCTTCAAGACGACGCTAGACAGCTGTGCTGCATTATTAGCATTAGCATCTTCAAAAGTATTGATAAAGACGAATGCCTTGATTCTACCTTACCCAACTGCTAATTACTAAACAATCAAATTAGAGAAAGCTATTACGTCAATTTGTAGTTTTTTTTTTTAACAATGTCTTCCTTTACACCTATAAAGGAAACAATTAATAAAAAGCTAAAGCATAATCTTCAATTTGTCACTTTAAGCATATTGAAGAATAAATTAAGTGGCAGTTAAAACCAAAGAGTATCAGAAACGCCTATGGGCCCAGTACAGCATATGTCACTGATAACAAAACAAAGAGAGGAAAAATTATTCAAGAGGCACAAAAACTTATTTCTCTTCATCTCTGGAAATCCGGGAAAAGAGTGAAACGAGACTTTCCGTGAATAGTATTATGCTGGGATTGGGAATTAAGAAGTACTTAGGAAATAAAAGACCAAAATGGTACTAAACTACAAAAGAAAGATAAAAATATCGATTCAATCCGAACCTAACTTATTGGATAAATACCAAATGCAACCCTAAACATTGATGTTTTCGCGTAATTGTTGAACTTTGAAAAAGAAGAGTGAAACGTTCCGCATGTTAATGAAGAGGAAAATATTCTCCCATACGAATAGAATTAAAAGAACTTCGACAAATATGAAGGCGATGGATTTACATTTGACTTTCTCCAACAATGCAATACTAACATCAAAAAGAATTCATTACTGTAATATGGAGTTCATCATTTCAATTGGATCTAGCAAATTTTCACGCATCGGCATCACTCCCAATCAAATTTGTACAGATTCTATTCTTCGACTAGATCCATTTCTCGACGACCAAACAGAGTGCGAAAAGTATAACAAGACGAAGGCCTGAATTCCTAATCTATGCACAGTACGCGCTCGATGAAGAAAAAAGCACACAACAATTCGCCTATAATTCAAGCACTCCAACACTTCATATCGTGATAAATCAAGGTAAGAAATGAGACAGAAATGAACAAATCGATATCGTCGCAATCGCAAGCAACAAGCAAAGCACAACAACGAACAGATAACATAGAGGAAGAAAGAGAGATTACTATTCGAGACTGGCACTGGAACCAAGGCTTTTTCCTTATCCTCAACTGACGCCGGCGGCGGCACTGAAGCGGGAGAGGAATCTGAATTTTCTGGCGCCGCAACCATCGTTCTCAGAATTCGGAGCAAAAATGATTAGAAATGAAAAATCTCCAAAAAATTTCACCAACGATTATCGCTATCCTCGTGGGCCTTTACATATATATATACTCAGAGGTCGGAGAGCTCATCAAAAAACGGTGGTGGTGTAAGCCTTACAACTGACAGTGAGATTTGCATGTGAGGTCCATGGTTTTTGACGCAGTGCTGATCTGTCAGCCGTTGATTTGATTGACTAGTAAGTGACTGTGGTCAAAATCTGATCTGACGGTTAGTGTTTGCGGGTAATTTTGGCGATCCGTTGGAATCGACTACGCGTTTTAATCGTAGCTTATTGACAGCTAAAAAGCGTTAATCAATGGGATTTTGCCACGTCAGTCAGATACGATATGGAGATGTCGGCAAGGTGAAACGTCGACGTTTTAGATAGAATTAGATGCAATTGCTTTATTTATAATGATCGTGGTCGACCCGACAACGTGGGCCCATTTAATAATTTTTTTTTTTTTTTTTTTTTTTTTTTTTTTTTTTTTTTTTTTTTTTTTTTTTTTTTTTTT